TTCGTCTAATGTAATAGAGCTTAAAGGCCTGGGTTAATCCGCGAATAAAGAAATTTATTGCCGCGAATATAGGAATTGGGTCGCATTTTCATAATCCGCGAATAGTGAAAACGCGAATGAAGGAAGCGCGAATAAGGAGCTTTTACTGTACTTTATAGAATCTCTGAAATTTCAAAGTGAGTACAATCCCATCTTACAGTCGTGGGTATAACAAAAAATTCGAACCGGCTATGCCAGAATATAAACGAAAACAATGGAATTTCGATACTATTTAACTTTGTCATTTTCTTAGCCGAAATTCCGTCTATTGATTAATCGCCTTTGATGGAAAAAATGTAATTCGAAATTGGATTGGAAGGTGTTATGGTAACACGTCGTCGTATAGTTACAACAGAAAATAAACAAAACGAAAAATTATTTTTCATTGAATTTAAAAAGCGTAGTTGCGAGAGATAGCTGGCATTCTAAAGAAACTAAAAGTTGATGTATTTATTATTTGGTTTGAAGATTAAGGAACGAGAAAGTTGTTTTCTAAAGAGGTGCTGCTTTTGGTCATATTAAAAAAGAAACGCATTGTAAAAAGTAGATGGCTACAATGGTAAGATTGCATGATCGCATGATGTGCGATATTTTCCCTCACTTACCATATTCTTTCGATCTAGCTTACCGCGGCTAGTACATGTTTGCAAATCTTCGATTTGGGCTCAAAGCATGAGGTTATTCCGCACACTAATCTTGATGAATGTGTCGAAAATTTTGAGAAGGGTTGCCCTAACTGCAACGCTCTTGATTTCAAGATCACAGATAGAGAGTGCGGCATTTTCACTTCTAGATTGCTTGAGAGTTGCGTAGCTTTGGCAATATTAAGTCATTCGAACCACAAATATATATGCGAATTGTGTTGAAAATATGTCACATACGGTTTTCTTGATCCAACTATTAAACATTTTTATTAAAAATAAATATTTAATTTAATTTAATTACGTATGGAAAATAACGTTGCTTAAATGAATACCATGTAACTCCGTTTGTAAGTAGCTATTTCATCAACAACAGCATCAAAAATTAAAATCCTGATGTGTTGTGTTACTCGAACTTGCTTTCAAACCAAAATTTCGGTATTTTATTAATGTCGCAGTTACAAGAAGCCCTTCTTTATTGAACCAAACCAAATAAGAAAATTATATTTGGTTACGACCGAATCTTTTACACCTATCATCGTTATCCCGGAAAAGACGAAAAATAAAGAAGAGGACTAAATTTTCATAATCTATAACCTTGGCTGGGCGCAGGCGATGTTTATTATTTTCAGAATAAAAGTGGAGAAATCCATAGGGCGCATATGTTGTACTTTATGAGTAACAAGCAAATAACTCGAAAGGCAGAGGTGTTCGTAATTTGCGTTGTATAGGCGTGCGGGTGTTGTGAATGTTTACAATAGATATTACATAGACGGACAGACGGACAAACGAGCATGCTTAAGCATCAATTCAGAATTTGATGCTGAGCAAGAATAAATACAATTTGTGGGTTCGCGGAAGCTTCCTTCTGGGCTTTGAAAATGTTTTCACAAAATGAGCATATCTGTAAAAAGTAAGACAATTTTACACCGATATAATAGTATCTTCTCTTTTATCTTGAAACAACTCAGAACAACAAAAGGAAATGAAGTTTGGGGCGCCCCTTTTTTTTCATTGTGTCTGTTATCACTTTTAGGAAACAAGTAAATAATTTTATGGACGTGCCCTTTGTCCGATGCGGCTTCTGTGCAATACATGCCTGCCTATGAAAACTGCTCATGTTTTTGCAAAATATGGAGCCCATATCTTAATATTTACGACCTATACGAATGATTACCGCAGACAGCTTATAGACATTTATACAGTCGGATAGAAAGTTACGCTAACGTCGATTCAGAATATGATCAAGGTTATATAGACTTTATAAGATGGTGAACGTTGCGTTTGGAGATCTTCTTTTTTTTTTTTTTTTTGGAAAAAAAAATAGCGGGTATAACAAAAGCTAAAAACAATTTGATTACTCTTTAATGGATCTGTTGCTTTGTTAAACTGAGCCATCTTTTTCCAAAGCTAATTATATGATTTTTTACTTTAATTACATTTATGAAAACAAGTTAAAAAATATTCAAAATCGTAAATGTATATTATAAATTCGGACAAAAAATTTAAAAATTTCAATTCTAATTACAGATAAGAGACGGTTTGAATTTTCCATAATTTTTACCTTGTTAAATGATCAGGTAGAACATGAAAGTCATAACACTTTTTAGCAATGAGCATTAAAATCAACTTTTCGCTTTCGTATAGTGACAAAATTATTGGGTATGATTTGTGCAATTGAAAATGGGCAAAGCTAAGGCACTCTTATTAATTAGAAAATTTCGATTAATTCGAAGATTTGCTCTAAAACGAATCTACGATGTGTATTCACTAAGGTGCACTTGATAAACAAACAAATATTTTGGGTTTTTAAATGGAAATACATTGTTGTAAATTTGTTGTGTTTTATTAAAATTTAGGAAAAAATGTAGAATTTGAAGAAAATTTTTCTTATATGAAGGTGAGTTTTTAAAAAGAAACAATTGGAATTTAACACGTTTAAAAATATAGTCCGGCTAGGTTAGTTATTTGTAGCAATTAGACTTCTTCTCGAAAGATCTTAAAAAGTCGCAAAAGCGAAAACTATTTTATATTCCTGAAGACAACGGCTTATCAATCTTACATATATGAAGATGATGATTTGAAATGGATTATAAATATTTTCTCGACACGTTCAAGATTCAAAGCAGGCTTATGCGACTATTTAGGCAGGCACAAAAGAAATTTCTCTTTGTTATTTTGGGAATTTCGATAATAGTCAAACAGATGACAATTCAAAGTTTCTGAAAAATTGCGAGTAAGCGATTCTTTAGTGAATAATGAATTTATCCATTAAATATGCTTATAACATATTTCTGTTGCATTCGCTCATTGATGTCATTTTGATTTCTCATAGAATTGCGTACGATTCGCTCTAGTCGACGCTAAGCATGATAAATGTTCATATCGCGACAATTTCCTTAATAATTAACTGGTCTCTCCATCCAATCAATTGGTCTCTCCATCCAAATCGTTATTAAATGTGAATGCATGACGATTAAAACCATAAGTAAGCAACTAAAAGAATATTGTTTTTTACTTTTGTTTAATGATAAGTTTAAGGAGCAAGCATGCTTAGGAAATAGATCAAGTCTAACTTTTTTTTGTAATACATAAACAATGGGCCATGTTTGAGAATCAAAATTGATTCAGTTACAAAAGTTTTTGTTTACAATCTCCTTACAAGAAATAGCCCGAGCAACGACTTGCTTTAAAGGGCTATTTGTCATATATGCGATATTCTTTACTTTAGTAAGAACTTACTCACGTTTCATGCTTGCCCTAAGTTCAATATTCCTTGCAAAAAAAAAAATCCTCAAATGTCTATTGTCTGTGACCGATGGGAGATAAACTTAAATTGCGTTATTTTCGCGTATTTTATGAGTCAAAATTCGATTTTATAAAAAGAATTTTATTTCACATTCAAAAGAATTTTGATAAGTAAATTAAAATAAAAAAAATCAAAATTCATAAGCGTGCCTTCTCTAGTCCAATTTTGCATAAACAGCTAGAAGAGATTCTCGTTTAACGATATCCCGCCGGTCTGAGATTTTCTACTTTCGTTGGCTTTGATAAAAAGGAAAAATGATTATTGTTTTCTCTTTGGCGGTTTTGTTAATAGATTTATAACATTTTTGCAAAAATTGTAGATAAATATTTACATTTTTTACGCCAGCTTTATGATTAGCTAAGGCGTGCCAGAATTTGCCATGACGAGATTTGGCGGGGATGAATACTTTGACGGATGGGTTAGTAAATCGAACGGCTTAAACTATACATCGCAAGCATAATTGTTGCGTTTACCTGTAATAGGGAAATCCTTGGGGAACATGTAAATCCATTGGCATTCCAGCAGGATTTAAATGATGAGAGTGCGGGTGATGATGGTGATGATGGTGGGCTGTATGTGGATGCGAATGATGGGGGTGGGCGTGATGCGTATGATGGGCGGCAGCAGCAATTTGATGATGTGAATGATGATGTTGAGCAGCCACAGCCACATTTTGCACATGCGCTGCAGCAGCGGCAGCCGCGAACCCGGCATCCGCACCCGCCGAGGCCATCGCGTGATGACCCAATACTGCAGCCCATGGTGAGGCTACAAAACCACTACTATGGTGATCCATAGGAAAATTTTAGAGATCAATTATGAGATATACTTTCGTTTTGTTGTCTTATTATTATATTTTAGTTTATCTTTTAATTAAAATTTTTTAAAATTTTTTTTATTTCTCTTCTTTTTTTTTTTTTTTTTTTTTTGTAAATATTTTCCTCTTATTTGATTTTCCCTTTTTTTAAATTTCCTAAGTTTACATTTTATTAATAATTAATTATATTATAGCACATTTAGAAAGGAAATATATTGTTTAAAGATAAGAAAAACTTGACTTAAGTATAAAATCAGCCGACGGGATTTGTTATTCTTTGGTTTTTGCTCCTTATTATACTTTATGCACGTAGACGACGCAAGGATGTTTTTTCACAAGGTTGTACGAGGTCGTGTTTTTGGTTATACAGTAAAAAATTTTTGCATGTATTTCGTCGTGTGAACAAACACTCGTCGTGCACTTCGTTTGTGTAGGTTTTCCTTCATTACATTTCGATTCGATTGTTGGGCTTGGTTATACGTTTCATTTTATTTTTTCCTTTTCTTTTTTTTTTCTTTTTTTTGCTTTTTGTTTTGGTTGACGGAAAGACGAGACGAAAAGAAAAGCTTTTTTAAGGTTTTTGTTTTGATTGCACGTCGCGGTCTTTGTTTTCCGCGTTCACCTCTGCACGGCATGAAAATTGGCGATAAACTATCGCCTCGCATCGGGAAACATGGTCACAGTTATTCACAGAGGCTCAGAGTCATTCAGTGTTTATGGCAAAGCATTCACCACTACTCACCATCATTACTATATACATAAACACTCACACAGCAGCCACAATATTTAAAAAAAAAAAAAAAAAAAAAAAAAAAAAAAAAATGCAAAAGTAAGGCTGCTGTTGTTGCTGCTGCTCTGATGTTGATGTGTGAACCCAACAACAGAACAACCAGCCATCCAGTAAGCTAGCCAAGGCAGCCCCAATAAACCTACCAAATATTATGCCGACCAGCCAAGCAAGTAAGATAAGCAAGCCAACAAGCAAGCAAGAAGGCAAGCAGGCAGGAAGGCAGTTGTGGAAGACTAGCACAATGTGTTGCTTTACTTTTAACATCAACCCGTGTATGTGTGCAATAAAACTTCTTTTTCTACATCCAAAAACTTAATCATTTTTATACACAGCATCATCAGCAGCGTCATCATTATCATCGGTATCATTATAATCATGATTATTGTTATTATTATTGTTGTTATTGTTATTGCTAAGGTCGTTCATGGTATTGTAGTGATTCCGGCTGGCAAACAGGCAAGCGAATAAGACAACGAGAGAATTCAGTTTCTGCAATATAAGTGTTTGTTTTCATAAGTCACCGACGACAACCAGCTTCATACCACCAAACTCAGTATTCGAATTGGTATGAGATGGAGCTTTCCACAACAACTATACAGCAATTCACCTGAGGCTTAAAACTCAGGTAGTCAGCAACAGACAACAACAATTTATAGCAACAACTTGTATGTAACCATTTATCAAAGCGTAAACTACGAACTACACTACGGATACTTGTGCGCACTCATTTAATTCATCAGCATCCTCAACACAGTTTAAGCTGCTCAACAGAAAAATCTCTCGAATCGAAAACAAATATATATATATATATATATATACCTACATGTACATATACTGCTCTCAATAATTTATTATTGCTTTGGGGATGTTTAGCTGCTGTGTCAATGTGTGCACGGTTGGATGTATGCAATGCCGCTACTACGAGAAGTGCAACAATCATAGTGCATAGTGTTGCTGCCTGTATTGCACTACTGTAATATAAGCTACGATTGTTGCTATTGTTGTAACACGAATTGCTTAACAACGATTGGTGGCAGTTTGCTATCAACAGCCACAAACATGGACACCATTGCATTTGCCTTCTTTTCGCAACTTGAAAATTTTCATTGTATGGGTTGGCTAAACCACCACTATTGCATCCCACGTAAACTATCGTTGCACACAATTACGTCTATTTGCTATGTTGCAAACTGATGTGTTCAGTTGTTGTATACAGATGCAAATATATTGATAAATTCAGACGTGTGCATAATATTGCAATAAATTTAACTGTTTATTGTTTTTTGTTTTTTTTTGTTTTCTAGAACATTATGAAAATATTTAAAAGAATATTTGGCAAATTGATAGCAAAAGTTTTTCAGTTTTTAAATAATCTCCACATTACTAAAGAGTTACATGCATCGTTTATATGTAACGTTTGTAATGAGACACACGCAACAACAGAAGTATAGCAAATCTATAGGGCTAGACCGTGCCTGAGATTAGTTTGAAAAGAATTAAAACGAAGTAAAAAGGTTGACGTCAGTCTTTAATACCCATTGTTTGAAACAATATACATAAAAATTACAAAAGCGTTGGTTAATTGCGTACGCGGAAGCTGATATAGATCGAAAGTTAAAATTTTCTGTTTGTCATTTGCAATTGTGCCATGTATTATATGGGCGGATCATGCTCATCAACTGAGAGTATATATATATATATATATATATATACATATACTTGTGATGCTGGACATACAGACGGATGTACGCGAAGTTGTAATTTTACTCTAAGAAACCGTATATATATATACACGGTTTGGAATAATTAAGAGATACTTGTAGATATTAGAAAGGAATTATGATCATTCGGTGGCCTTTAAATAAATAGGTGTAAGAGATGCGCAAGTCTTGGAAAACTAAGAAGAAGTCTTGACTGTGGATTACCTGGGATCTTCACAGCCTGCAAGTTAACTCCAAAGTGTTTTGCGAATTTAATTTTTTTATATATTTTTTTTTTTTTGTTATTAAATTTTTAGTTATTGTAAGCGTATTTTTGGGAATACTTGATTCATTTTCCATTGATGATTACCAGCTAAGAGAACCGGCGCCAAAGTCATATCGAACAATTACAATATTTGCCGTAGCAACTCTGCCAAGAAAGTGTGCAAAATCGATTAGTTTGAGTTGTTGCGCAGGTCATATAGGGTCTGCAATCAGTCTTCTTACAACACTGCAAAAGATTAATCTGATCAAACCTTGACTTCAATAAAGATGGAGGCACGTATCCCACCAAACTAGGATTTGTTGAAAAATTCTTCAAGTATTATTTGTGCTGCTCTACGGTCACAGTTCCGCAATGTGTGTCAGGATATGCGGTGCATGCTTACATTTACTAAGAGAGTAAACACTACCATCGAAACATATAATATGGGTATAGTGTTTCATGGATTTCTTCAACACCACGAAATCATCCTTATGGAGTGCTACCAATAACAAGCAATACAATGTAGACGTTTCATCGCATAGTCTCAAAATAGTACAAGCTACTGCAATCAATCCATATATAGAACGTCAATCTATATATAGTACATAACACAGCATAAATAAGGCAAGAAATCATTTTGTGGGCAAATGGTCGGGAAGTGTTTGGAACGGTTTAACTAATTTTGAAAAGGAAATGTCAAGGAAAAGAAAGTATGTAAGATCAAGTTGTTTTCTTCTAGGCAAAGTTTTGTATTCATAAACACGACTGATTCCAAAACAAGCAAAAAAATTATATTTAGTCGTGACCGAATCTTCTACTGCCATCGCCACGATCCTGAAAAAAGAAAAGGAAGAAAATTTTCGTACTCTATAATATTGGGTGGGCGGGGCTAATTTTTCCTATTTTTAAAATATAAAATGAAATTTATATTGTGTATGTGTTGAAGCAAAATACACGAAAAGCAGTCTTTGTTACCTAAACGTGTGAGTGCGGTAGGCGTGTTCCTTCCCTGGTTTGGATTGCTTTTTAAATTCTTTTGCAAATTTGTAGGCGATATCTTCCTTCTTGCGAAGGGTAGAACGTTTACAACAGATGGACAGAAGCCAGATGGACAGAGGGACAAGCTGAAATCGTTTCACAATTTAATGCTCATCAAGAATATATATACTTTGTGGGGTCTCTGCAGCTTCCTTCTTAGCTTTAAAAACGTTTTGATAAAGTGAATATACCCTTTATCTGTAGGTGATGTCAAGAGGTGATAATTTTAATGTGACCTCTGAAGGCGTAAAAAAGAGAAACAAAGAGGCTGGAAATACATATAGAGATTTGGACAAATTTCGTTCTATATTGGGAAAAATTGACTTCAATGCCGGTCAAAACTATGAGTAACTAAATCAGTAAAATCGCGTCTACAAATTCGGTGCTCGCGGGTTCAAATCTTTCTATTTTGGTTGTGCTTATAGTGAGTGGTCAGTCGGTAAAGGTATAAAGCTTACCAACTGAGCACATCCACTAGACTGCGCTGCTTGCCTGTCTCTTTCTCTTCCCTCACATCTTTACGATCGTGAACGTGTTACACGAATATAGGGCATCGCCCGAGTGATTGGTCACATAATAATAATAAATAAAGAGCATTCTACGATATTGACGTAGAAGATTCTAAGAAAAAAGAACAAAGAATTATGTTCTGGGATGCCTACCAATTGAAAAGTACGTTTCGAAGATGGGTCTATAAAACATGCAACTCCTGTTAAATAACAACTGCGGGCTGTTTTATATATTTTACTATTTCTGCTTTAAATATTCGCTCAGATTGGACTTACGTAGATTATTATATTATTTAAATTAAAATTGAGCCTATTGAGCTTTTAAAAGATTAAAGTTCACGTATTTACGAACGAAGTCTAACTTTATTATTTAATTTTCTTCGATCCCTTCTTATATGTATTGAAACCTATGAATTTCTGGGGTAATTATGCACTCTTCAATTTATTATTGCTTAACAATTCATTTGCCAGCATCTACGTATCTTAGCTAAGGATCATATCGCAGTTAACGATATCGTAAAAGGCATTTTTTGTTTAAAGTTCTTCCTTAAAATTTTTTAATTTTTATATAATTTATCTTTGTTAAAATATTAGAAGAGCTACTCTCACGTTGTGACCTCCAAAGTTCAACATTAAATACATGTGTGGCGCTTGCAAAGTGTATTTAAATGGAATCG